CTATATAAAGCACAAGGGGCGTTAGATAAAGTAACATCTGAATGCAGCATTTTAGGGCTAAAAATGTCTGCACAGAAGTCTAAGGCAATGTGATTAGGTGGCAACACTCCAGACAGGCACCTACGCATTTAAGATATTAACCTTCAGTGGGTTACACAATATCAATATCTCGGAGTGTGGATAGATTCTAAAATGACATTCAACAATTCAATATCCGAGGGAGCAAGCAAAATCACGACTGAATATAATGAGTGCAATAACAGGGCCCCGTCTAGGAGTGGGACACAAAGTGTTAAGAATGTTTTGCATACACGGCGTTCGTTCCCTAGTTGATTATGCAGCGCCTGCCTTACTCACTCTTTCTCTTGGCCAGTGGGCAAATGTTGAAGTTATTCTAAATGTTGCAATGCGAGGCATACCAGGGGCTCCCTGATGGACTAAAATACTGAACCTAAGACTAGAAACCAAGCTAACGTCGATTGAAATAAGAGTAAAAGGAAATGTTGTGTGCATGCTGACCAAGATATTGACTAGACCAAGAATCAGTTCACTTAAAGATATAATCACTGGAGCACTAACTCGGGACAGAAGAGCCTCCAATAGCAACAGGTGGACCCATTGTGAAATAAACACCATCAATACATTCGATATAACAAATACAGTCACTGAGAGGGATGAGGACGAAATATTTGCAGACTTCATTATGCAAGCCGCTTGGGAATCGCTGCCAGCAGACTTTAAGTTTATAGCTCTTGAAGGAAAAAAGAACCAGACTAATCCTCATCTGCTACAGATACATATACAAGCAAACTTGGCCTCTGACCCCTTCAAATACTTCACTGATGGATCAAAAGACCAGCAGGGACCAGAAACCGGAGCTGCAGTTAAGGCAGGAAACTCTGTAAATAGTTGGAGACTCTCAAATGGGTGTGCAACTTTACAGAAATGCTAGCCATTCAAAAGGCTCTGGAACATGCTCTTGCTGAACACAGACAACATGTTATCATACATACGGATTCGAGAACTGCCGTTGAAACCTTGCAACAAGAATACATACATGACAACATCCATCTGATATCAAATGTCATGTCATTAATGCAAACACTCAAACGTCAAGGCCGTTGGGTACTAATCAACTGGGTACCAAGTCATGTGGGTATAATAGGAAATGACATTGCAGACAAAGCTGCAGAACTTGCAACTATGGGAAGAAATGTAGACATTTACATACCAGAGCGTCTATCACAGATTAAGAATGTAATTAGAAATAGAGCAATGCAAAAGATGTACAGTGACCTCAACATAAGGATCTGCAGCTTGGTACAAGAATTCAACCAACTACGAACCAATTATTTTGGTGAAAGGGAGCAGTAGAACAACAGAACTACACTTACCTTACATTAGGCTTGGATTCCCATGTGCATGGGAAAAATGCTGTCATATTCCAAAGGATGAGAGGAAATATCAGCACTGTGAAGAAATGCCCGACAGACCACTGGAACATTATCTAACACAGTGCACAGTTACAAACCCAATAAGATTTCCACTTAGATTCAACAGAGCAGAAGTTGTTAAACACATGTAGCAAAATCTTACTGAAGCGACAATACGAATCATAAATACTGATACTACGCCTAAGTAAAACAGAAACAAGTAACACTTAGTGGGCCAGCCAGAGGCTTAGAGCCCGCACTGGAATATCCATGAAAAAAAAACGAAGTGCTACAAAAGTGCTACTCATAGGAGCAACATATCCCTCACCCAATTAATTATCAACATACATATCACTGAGCTAATTATTTTTTTCCTAACTCTTTCTATTTTCTAATATACCTGTATGATATTTACATAACAGTCTCAACTCGACTCCATGCGAGTTCTCATGTACTTAGCCAATCACTATACATTAAGCACTGTGGAGAAATGCCCAACAGACCAAACCATAAATACTCATACTTCGCCTAAGTAAAACAGAAACAAGTAACACTTAGTGGGCCAGCCAACGGCTTAGGGCTCGCGCAGGAATATCCCTGCTAAAAAAAAAATATTCATTATAGTACAAAACTCTATGTAGTTGAAATATCTGTTACTAAAGCCAACCTACATTTGCATATCATTTAAGATATGCTTAGATGCATTACATTTATTACATGTTTATCACAGGTTTATCACTCATTTCTCACTGGCAGTATTATAATAAGAAGAAAATTAATGAAGACAGAATGATATTAATATAAAAAACCATTACAGAGCCTAATCTGTATTTTTGGCATATGCGTGCCATTATTTGCCCATCCTCTGATTTGCATACTAAAGATGCTAAATTGTCATTCAGTATGTCACCTTAGCAATGTCTTTAATTGCTTACTAACTCGCCAGTATACAAATTACACATGTAAATTAACACAAAGGCTTTCACATTCAAGTTTAACTGCTCTAGTCGTAACACCTTGACTAGTATCGTCATGACACAGCTCGAACCTCTCTGCCCCATGCATGGGCCATTTGCAGCCTTGGGTCCTGGCATTGGTCTCCTGACTGAACTTTCAATGGAAGACTCTCTTCACTCTAATGGCGGTCTTCGTAGGGCTCTTCTCTGACCTCAGCTACTCATGTGTCACCTTTCTCTTCTCTCGCTGTGTTCGCCACTTTCCTCTTTGTGCAGCACCACCGTCCACTTATCACTGCTTCATATGGTTTTGGTGTTCATTTAGGTTTGTTCACCCTTGCTACCCATTGACATTCCATCCCATATTGTTTTTTTTTGCTAGTATGTTCTTTTCCATCCTTTCAAACCAGAATGGTGTAGTGAGACGTTCTAGGACAGTGGTAACGGGTCTTCTGGTGTTACACCTCTGTTGGTGCACTCAGCTGTTCCTGAGCGATGCATTGCGTTATACCTGGACTATTAAAATACTGCCTTATATTTTTTCAGGGTTTATGCTTGAAAAAAGTTTTTTTTTTATTTTTCCGTTTTTTCCTGAAATACACTGATTTTTGTTTTCCTTGAAATGCCCTGATTTCTGTTTCCCCTGAAATTAGGTTGTTTCCTGATTTCGGGCCCTGATGCTGCCGGCCTGTGTGCCAAGCTCTTCCTTGATTTATTTCCTTACTTGTTCTTGGCTTCTTCTTCCCGGTTTGTTTTGCCCTATTGTTTTCGGGCTGTGTGCTTGGGTGTCAGTCGGCTGAATAACCGGACCTTTCTGAGCTGTGTGTCGGGGTCTTCTCAGTTAGTTAACCGGGATTTCTCTAGCTCCTGGAAATTTGAACTCTGGTTCCCTAGCTCTTTCTGGGTTTGTTCTAGTTATTGGTTGGGCTTGTGAGATGTTCTGAATAGTTCAATTGGGTGTTAAAATTTGTCATTGTCCGTTGCGTTCTTTGTCCTCGCCACATTTGTGTTGCACTTCGGGCGTTTGTCGGGTTGTCGGTTATCTCTCTGCCCCGTGTCTTTTTAAGATGCCTTCTCCCAATGATCAGCCTTGACCGGTTATCGTTTAGAAAATCGGGGCCTCCTGAACTAAGGTGCCGTTATAAATTTGCTTTCGAAAAATATTAACAGATTCCTCCACAGATTAAAGCAATTAAATGTACGGAAACACCCTTTCTGGTGGTGCCCTAAGTAGTTCTCTGCCAGTTCAGTAGCTCCATATCCCAGGCCTGTTCAGTAGCTCCATTTCCCGGTCCTGTTCAGTAGCTCCATATCCCTGGCCGGTTCAGTAGCTTTATGTCCCAGGCCTGTTCAGTTATTCCATGTCCCAGGCCTGTTCAGTTATTCCATGTCCCAGGCCTGTTCGGTAGTTCCATGTTCCTTATTTGTTCAGTAGCTCCCAGTCCCTGGCCTGTTCAGTAGCTCCCTGTCCCTGAGTTGTTCAGTAGCTCCCGGTTCCTGGCTTGTTTAGTAGCTCCCTGTCCCTGGCTTATTCAGTAGCTCCCTGTCCCTGGCTTATTCAGTTGGCTGGTTCCTGGCTTGTTCAGTAGCTCCCTGTCCGTGGCTTATTCAGTAGCTCCAGGTCCCTGGCTTATTCAGTAGCTCCAGGTTCCTGGCTTGTTTAGTAGCTCCCTGTCCCTGGCTTATTCAGTAGCTCCCTGTCCCTGGCTTATTCAGTAGCTCCCTGTCCCTGGCTTATTCAGTAGCTCCCTGTCCCTGGCCTGTTCAGTAGCTCCCTGTTTTTGGCCGGTTCAGTAGCACCCTGTCCCTGGCTTGTTCAATAACTCTCGGTCCCTGGCCTGTTCAGTAGCTCTCTGTCCCTGGCTTATTTAGTAGCTCCCTGTCCCTGAGCTGTTCAGTAGCTCCCTGTCCTTGGCCGGTTCAGTAGCTCCCTGTCCCTGGCTTGTTCAGTAACTCTCGGTCCCTGGCCTGTTCAGTAGCTCCCTGTCCCTGGCCTGTTCAGTAGCTCCCTGTCCCTGGCCTGTTCAGTAGCTCCCTGTCCCTGGCTTATTCAGTAGCTCACTGTCCCTGGCTTATTCAGTTGGCTGGTTCCTGGCTTGTTCAGTAGCTCCCTGTCCCTGGCTTATTCAGTAGCTCCCTATCCCTGACCTGTTCAGTAGCTCCCTGTCCCTGACCTGTTCAGTAGCTCTCGGTCCCTGGCCTGTTAAGTAGCTCCCTGTCCCAGGCCTGATATCTTCTTCCCCATGGCTTTTGTTATCCTTATACTTTCTGGTAGCTGCTTTTCTCAGTTGTAATTAGATCTTTGATCCCCCAAGTCTCATTTGCCTTGTATAGTAAGACTTTGTCTTTAAGTATGGGACGGTGGGCTTCAGAGACCTGCTGCTTCTACCTAGGTCGTACTTATCTTGTGCCAAGCGTCGAGGAACTCCTTATGTCTCCCCCGAAACTGGCATTTATCACATTCAATGCTTGATGTTGAAAAGGAGGAAAATGGGAGTAGAGTTCCGTGGTTATTTATTATTAGCTTAACATAAAAACTGTAATTTTAAACTAAAACATTCGCCAGCAATCTATTTTCCTGATTCTGATATATAATGTTTTGTCTTTCCAGATGACAAGAAACTGAAGAATTTTGATTAGAAAAAGACTATTTTACGAAACCTTTTATAACACAAATTGAAAAAAATTTAATCTATCAATAATCATTATATAAAACGAAATTTAACCAAAAATATAATGAAATGAAAAATATGAATAAAATATTAACTCCGTAAGCTTTTCAGGACAAAGGGAAAATCCTAATTCAATTATGATTTGTATTCTCGGTACATGATGAAAATTTGTAATTTGATCATATAAAAAGTATGGATATTTTCTGAACCACTTTAATATCATATGAACAACATTGATCTCAGTTCATGTAATCTTCACACAATAACCAAAACCAGCATGAAACACTGAAGGAAGGGAACTCTCAGGAGAAAGCGCCAAGAAATTAAGACTATATAGCCATGAAACACTGAGTGTTGCTAGGAATGTCTTGAAAAGTTGTGTGAGGCACGAGTCATAAAGCCACCTCCTTCACATTGTCTTCCAGGATGCAGCACCCAGTAATCAATGATAGAGAGCTCTACAATTTCAGGTACTACCTTGCTGTGACTAAGGCAGCAAGAGATGAAATAGCTACAGTGTTCAATTGCTTATACACAGGGAACTATCCAATACAATCCCCAGCTCAAGATGGGATTGCTTATCGAAGGCTCAACCGTTCTTTATTGCGTGAGGAGCGGATTTTACTTAGCACGCACATGTGCTCAGATAATTTTGATATCACCCTCTTGTATAAACTTCTACAACATGTATGTGATCTGGCTCAAAATAACGACTCCATATGGTGGACTCCTCCAGTTGCTCTGCAACAATCACTCGAACACCTTCTCTACAAGCTCAAGACAATCAGAAATAATATAATGCACCAAAGTATGATGATAAGGACACAGGAAGACCTCGTTGATAAATTAACGGAGCTCAGTGACATAGTGCGGAAAATGTTGCTGAAGGCTGGTCTCGGTGCGTGACACTCAATGTGGACGAGACACTCAATGTGGGCGATCGATATCATACATTCATGAATTATATTAGTAGACTAAGAGAAAAAATCAGAGAGTCTTTGGATCCTTCAGATACGGCGCTCATATCTCGGTTTCGCCAGGAATATAATATAATAATGAATCGAATCACACAACAGGTTAAATTCAGGAGCAAGCAGGAGCTTGTTGAATACCGTTATAGGTATCCCCTCTGTCTGTCACATTTAAGTTTTACTTCCATAGGACTGCGACTATTTAAAGATCCTGCCATAGGGTCTGCACCATCCCAGGCAGCCAAGGGTCATGATATAAACTATGAAGAGTTCTTAAGTATGATAGGAGAAGACGGAAGAGTCCCTCAGTGTGTCCTCCTGACGGGAGAAGGTGGAATGGGCAAGACAACTTTACTCGAGCTCATCCTCGAGAAGTGGGTAGAGGATCATGCTGCCATACGTCACCTGGGCACTGTGGACCTCGTTTTCTATGTACAGTGCAGGGACACACATCTTAATACCTTCGATGGTGTCCTCTGCCAGTTACTGCCTCAAACACTTCATGATTCTGATCTTGACTTCGAGCAGTTTAAGGAGATAATCTTGAGCTTAAATATATTAGTTCTGATTGACGGCTACGACGAGGTCAACGACCATTCGGGAAGGCTGGTGAAGGAGCTGTTGCACCTGCCTGGCAAGAATGTGAGGTTGGTGATAACCACACGGCCGGGGTGGGACCAACACCTGTCACAGCTCGTCCCACACACCAGACCTCGCTGCAACATCCTCGTCTTGGGCATCACTCCAGAACGTCGCGTGGAGTTCGCCGAGAGAATCATCAAAAACCAGGTGCAGGAAGAGAGCAAACGAGTGTCATCACAGAGAGGTTTACCCAGCGGCTGGAGCAGATGAGTCAGTTCCTGGGTGAGTACCTCAACACTCCACTCACCTTGACCTTGTTGGCGCTGCTGTGCGTCGAGGGCTCCAGTGAATTTAACAATCTCACCACAATCACTCAAGTCTACGAGAAGATTCTAAACTTAAAGAAAAATAAACTAGTATCTACGCTGGAAGCCTTCCAGATAAATGACCCCAGAGGAAAATGTGAAAATTTTATGTTTTTCATTGAGGAGGTTAGTTTAAGAGGGATCAAGAGGCAGGAGTACGACCTCTGGCCGGAGACGGAAGCGGAGATTAAGAAGAAGTGTAACACTCTGCGACTACCGCTGCGGCTGGTCTTGTACTACTATCTCAGAAGCACCATATACTATCAGCGCCTTGATCAGGTGTGGGTGTATGGCTATGTTTACACCAGGTATCAGGAGCATTTTGCTGGCAGGAGTCTGGTCACTCAGCTAATGGCAGAGGAAAACCTACGCGACCAGAGGAACACCAATCTCGTGCACAGAGTACTGCTGGAGGGACAAAATAATGCGAGTTTTAGTAAATACAGATACCAGAACATCTTACTTAGTTCTACCTATGTGATGAATGTTCGTAAATGTGGAACAAAATTTTTTCTCATGGATAATTCAACTTGTATGGTGTAATGATAATGAAGTGGATAACCTTTTAAAACACATAGTCGAGTCCCACAACAACGAGCACGTTATCAATGCTGTGGCATGAGACAGGCTACAAGATTGGAATGGGTGGAAGATAAAGTGTGTGGATTCATGTGCCGTTCTCCCGCTTGTTCTCAACAGTGAGAGACCTGATAGCGAAATCGTGCTAGAGATCGAAGCAGACGGCTGCAACAAAACAAACTAATGCCAGCACTGAGAGTTCTGATGACACTACCGATTACTGTAAACGTGCTTCTCTATGGTCACTACTTTTACAGAAATGACGATGACGATCTTTCGAACATATACTTAGAAACATTGACAGCTCCTGGCAGTAGCTGTACCTTGGAGCAGTTTGTGGGTCGATTGTCTGAGGCAGCCATACCCCACTTGCCTCCCACCCTCCGGAGCCTCGCCCTGCGCCTCACACTGCAGGAACTGCCCGTCCTCACACATCGCTTGCAAGATCTTCGCAGAGTCAATAAACTAAGTAAACATTACTGTTTTCTACCACATAATTTATTGGTAATTTCAAATATTAATGAATGTGATGCTTAAGTAGTCAGCTTAAATGGGTTTTCATACAATATATATATATATATATATATATTCATATATATATAACCCATACTATATATATATGGTCATAAGGCGCCCTATACCAGTATGCGTTGCTTCTGGGAGTATGGTAGTCACTGTGTGGTGTGTGTGTGTGTGTGTGTGTGTGTGTGTATGTATTGATATATGTGTGTGTGTGTATGTATGTGTGTGTTGTGTGTGTGTGTGTGTGTACTCACTCTCACCTAATTGTGCTTGCGGGGGTTGAGCTCTGGCTCTTTGGTCCCGCCTCTCAACCGTCAAATCAACTGGTGTACAGATTCCTGAGCCTATTGGGCTCTATCATATCTACATTTGAAGCTGTGTATGGAGTCAGCCTCCACCACATCACTTCCTAATGCATTCCATTTACTAACTACTCTGACACTGAAAAAGTTCTTTCTAACGTCTCTGTGGCTCATTTGGGTACTCAGCTTCCACCTGTGTCCCCTTGTTCGCGTCCCACCAGTGTTGAATAGTTCATCCTTGTTTACCCGGTCGATTCCCCTGAGGATTTTGTAGGTTGTGATCATGTCCCCCCTTACTCTTCTGTCTTCCAGTGTCGTAAGGTGCATTTCCCGCAGCCTTTCCTCATAACTCATGCCTCTTAGTTCTGGACTAGTCTAGTAGCATACCTTTGGACTTTTTCCAGCTTCGTCTTGTGCTTGACAAGGTACGGGCTCCATGCTGGGGCCGCATACTCCAGGATTGGTCTTACATATGTGGTGTACAAGATTCTGAATGATTCCTTACACAGGTTCCTGAACGCCGTTCTGATGTTAGCCAGCCTCGCATATGCCGCAGACGTTATTCTCTTTATGTGGGCTTCAGGAGACAGGTTTGGTGTGATATCAACTCCTAGATCTTTCTCTCTGTCTGTTTCATTAAGTACTTCATCTCCTATTCTGTATCCTGTGCCTGGCCTCCTGTTTCCACTGCCTAGTTTCATTACTTTGCATTTACTCGGGTTGAACTTCAACAGCCATTTGTTTGGACCATTCACTCAGTCTATCCAGGTCATCTTGTAGCCTCCTACTATCATCCTCTGTTTCAATCCTCCTCATAATTTTTTGCATCGTCGGCAAACATTGAGAGGAAACGAATCTATACCCTCTGGGAGATCATTTACATATAACCAGAAACAGTAATAGGTCCACGGACTGACCCCTGCGGGACTCCACTTGTGACGTCTCGCCAATCTGAGACCTCACCCCTCACACAGACTCGTTGTCTCCTGCTGCTTAGGTACTCCTCTATCCACCGGAGTACCTTCCCTCTCACTCCAGCCTGCATCTCCAACTTTCGCACTAGCCTCTTGTGTGGCACTGTATCAAAGGCTTTCTGACAATCCAAAAATATGCAGTCTGCCCACCCTTCTCTTTCTTGCCTTATTTTTGTTGCCTGGTCGTAGAATTCAAGTAACCCTGTGAGGCAGGACCTGCCATCCCTGAACCCATGTTGATGCTGTGTTACAAAGTTCCTTCGCTCCAGATGCTCCACTAGTTTTTTTCGCACAATCTTCTCCATCAGCTTGCATGGTATGCAGGTTAGGGACACTGGCCTGTAGTTCAGTGCCGTGTGTGTGTGTGTGTGCGTGTATCACGAAAATAAACACGTGATTAAAAATGTGACAGTGTCAGACCACGGACGAAAATTGAAACAGGAATTTCCTTAAGTACTTTCGTATATTAATACATCTTCAGAAGGAGTGATTTTACAGGTCGAGTACTGAACATAAATAGGCAGGAGAAAATGGTGGAGTGAGGTGAGATACAATACGTGGACACTGCAGACGGCCTATTGGCCCATCCGATGCAGCAACCACAAACAGGCCCAACACATGGATAATTATAGCAAAAATAGTAAATATTTACAATGAATTAGTGAGACAAATGTGTTCCAATGATCCTACTTAAATCGCCTTTTAATTGATCTATTCAAAATGGATCTAAGTTATATAAACCACTGCTAATGTTTAAATTACTTTCTTTTGTGATCTGTATCAAAGCAGATTCAATTATGTTTCTGGTATAGGTGCTTTTACAATTCGTTATTGAAGAAGTCATCTCCCAATAAATTTGGTGAGCATCTTCTCACAGATGAACAAACAAAGCATTAGACAATTGGCCATGTCTTACAGTGTATTTATGTTGCGAAATTCTACATTTCAAATCTTTAGATGTTTGCCCAACATAGAACTTATTACAGTCTTTACAAGGTATTTTATAAATGATACAATTATCACTACGAGAGCTGTTCCTAACTAATAGCTTACCAACGGTATTTTCGTAGCTAAACAATACATGTATATTAAAAAGTTTCAAGGCCTTGACAATATTCTCAAACCCAGAGAAATATGGTAAACATAATACATTCTTTGGGCGAATTCTTTCACTGCATATATTATTATAATATATACGACGTGCTTTGCTATGGCAAACTTCCAAAAAAACTCAGTGGGTAACAAAGCTTGAGACCAATCGAATCAATATTCTTAAACTCTTCGTCTAAGAATTTTGGACTCACAACTCGAAGAGCTCTTAGATACATTGAAGAAAAAATTTACTTTTTCACATAGTATCTATGCCCTGAAAAATAATGAACATAAGATAAATTATTCGTAGGTTTTCTGTAGACACTAAACTTTTGTGAAAAATCTTCCCTATGAATAAGTACATCTAGGAATGGCAAACTTTATCAATTTCAGTCTCCATAGTAAATTTTATAGAGGTGATTTGGTCATTAGGTTTGGCTACAAATTCGTCTGTGTTTACATCTGAAAGCCATATACACAAAATATCATCAACATATCTAAACCATGGAATGATTCCAGGAGTTATTTTTTAAACAAATTTCTTTTCGAAGAATTCCATGTACAAGTTTGAAAGCTATGGCGATAAAGGATTCCCCATTGCCATTCCAAAGGTCTGTAAATAATACTCATTATTAAAGGTAAATTTACATTTTTTAATGCACAACTTAACAAGATTGACAATAATATCAGCAGAAAGAGGGCATAGGTTTTCAGGGCATAGATACAATGTGAAAAAGTCAATCTTTTCTTCAATGTATCTAAGAGCTCTTCGAGTTGTGAGTCCAGAATTCGAGTTGTGAATCCAGAATTGATCAGTCAGGGAGCATACTTAATAAGCACCAAGACTGACCAATCCTTATAGACGATCATTGGTGCGGTGGTCACGGTACTGTGTACGTTTTGGGGTGATCCTAGACGGCATGGTTCGAATCCTGGCCGGGTCAAAGAGTTCTTAGTGATTCAGGGGTTCAGTTGCATATAGTCCTGGAGACCATTCAGGCTTGTTCGCATATATATATATATATAGATATATATATATATATATATATATATATATATAATATAGATATATATATATATATATATATATATATATTGGTGTATACTGGCAGCAGGTTTTCTTTCAAACAGTTTCATTGAATATGACCGCATATTCTGTATTTATTATTTTCTGGTTTAGGGGCTTCTATCCCTCTAACTATTTTCTTAGCATCAGGGCTTAATTGGAATAGGAGTTCTCCAAAACTCATTTTCGTACTTGTAAGGTGAAGAAAAGAAGTGATTTACTATAGAGTGTATTACACTTATTTGTATAATTTGCACGACGTTTCGAACCTCCATGGTTCATTCTCAAGTGAACAGATCTTACAATACTAGTTGATTTTATACCCGCATTAGGTCAGGTGATAATACAATGAAGGTGAAAAACACATGGGGGGATACATAAGGGATAAACATAGGGCTGCAGAAGGCTTATTTGCCCATACGAGGCATCTCCTATCTAAAACACAAAGATTAATCCAGTGTAATTGGCCTGTTATGTTGGACATTGTCTTCTCTACAGGCAGTCAATATGTTGTATACATGTACACTTGCCCCCACGAAGGATAGAGTAAATAGTTCAATGATAAGGTGTTCATAGGTATGACGCTCGATTCTTAGCTGACGAGGCGTTTGACATTGCCATCTTCTTGAATCTTGGGTTTTTGCCCCTTAGGCAAGTATTCTGTCCAACATGAATACTTGCATAATACCCCATGTTTTTCCAGGTACTCTAACCCAGAGATTCTGTTGAACAAGAAATACTTGCATAATAGACAAAACCCAGATTCAAGAAGATTACAAATTCTTGAGGCAATTTCACATAAGAATAGAGCGACCTACCATGAACACCCAAATCACGGAACTATTTACTCTACCCACCATGAGAGTAAGGACAAGACAAGAAAAAGAACATTCGATGCCAAACACAGAAGACAATGTCCAACATAACAGGCCAATTAACACTGGATTAATCTTTGTGTTTAGATAGGAGATGCCTCGTATGGGCCAATAAGCCTTCTGCAGCCCCTATGTTTATCCCTTATGTATCCCCCCCATGTTTTTTTCACCTTCATTGTATTATCACCTGACCTAATGCGGGTATAAAATCAACTAGTATTGTAAGATCTGTTCACTTGAGAATGAACCATGGAGGTTCGAAACGTCGTGCAAATTATACAAATAAGTGTAATACACTCTATAGTAAATCACTTCTTTTCTTCACCTTACAAGTACGAAAATGAGTTTTGGAGAACTCCTATTCCCAATTAGCCCTGATGCTAAGAAAATAGTTAGAGGGATAGAAGCCCTAAACCAGAAAATAATAAATACAGAATATGCGGTCATATTCAATGAAACATGTTGAAAGAAAACCTGCTGCCCAGTATACACCAAGTATATATATATAATATATATATATTCATATATATTATATATATATATATATATATTATATAATATTATATATATATATATATATAATATATATATATAGCAGAATAACCCATATGAAAAATAGAAAATGCTTAACGCGTTTT